TAAATCCAATCAATGTATCTATATTAAACAGAATGAAATAATAAATAAGCTGTAGGCTGCATTAACTCATTAACTGCTAGCAATTGATGCTAACTGCTAGCTACTTTAGCTCAGTTAAGCAAAAGGCGAGATTAAACTGCTTCAATTAACAAAAAAAAAATCAATAAACCTGTCTAATTCTTAAACAACTATAAGGTTACCTTTAAAAATATCAACTATACAACTACAGCAATACAGTATGAGCGTTTGCAGCTACCTAAAAAAAAATAAAATGCTAACATCGAATTTAGCTGCGAGTCGTGGTGGGTTTGTTTATTATCTGCTGGCGTTTAATAGAAGTAAAGACACCGTGCACATTATGTTATTTAAAGTATCGATTTTGGTTTTCATTAAAAAGAGACCTCGGTTAATGTGTTAGGACAATTTATGGTTGGAGATTATGGTCAGTTGGACTAATAACGATGAAAAACTGTTATGTTTACTTATTTTTCGGCAAACACATCCTTTAGCCATAAACGTAATCGAACGTACCCGGAAGCTAGAGAAGTAATTGAGAAACGGTTATATTAAACTGACTGTTTTTTCTTATTATGGCCTAATTCGCCTTTGTGGTCACTCGTGGTCTGATACCCTATCGAAACAGCCCCTTGTTTCTTCTGCAAATCACCCATCTATAGAGGATTTAAGCATCAACTTAGTTAAAACCTTACCTTAGCGTCATACAAGACTTTAGCCTTGGTTGGGTCGGGTTCAAAGCACAAGACTCGTTCTCCTTTGTGAAACTGGTATTTAATTCCCCGCGAATTCATTTGTTCATGGCGACGTGTGAGAGAGAAGGCATCGATCGGATCCTTGAACGTCCTTAACCCTTTCTTTTCCTTTCCTACGAGGGAGTTTCAAACCTCTGGAAAGATGGCGCTGTTGTGGAATACTGGGTGAAGCTTTACTGCTACATCACGGACATTTCGGAATTCTTAGACTTACAATTGTTACCGCAAATATTTGAAATAATGTGCCAATTTACATATCTTTTATGAATAAAGATGCAAATATAAGTTCGCTTTTGCTTTTTTTTTGATAAGCTACTGAACTCAGAAGCGGTCACTATCGCAACCGTTAGTATACGTCTCAGAAAAATCCGTGTAGAAGCGAACGCAGCATGGAAAACCTTCTCTCCACTAAAGTAACTGTAATTTAAAAATCCAACCAGCAGATGACAGTATTGTACGGAAAAGCGTGTGGACAATATCAAAAGAAAAACGAGGAATGTGTTCTTTATTGCAATGTTTTTCTCCCAATAAATGTGTAAAACATTGTTTTTTCTATAAGATCTTTCTGTATCCGAGTTTTTAATTTAGATGTTGCTCAGTCATACTGTTTTGGCCCTTTAAAATGACTTTAAAACGACTGAACTGTAATATATGAATTGACCTGATTCTACTGAATACAATTTATAATCTGTTTGCTTTAAGATGACATTAGATGTTGGTTTATGTTTTTTTTTTAACTGCAGTTTCTTCTCTCCCTCTTTATATAGGAGCAAGATAACTGGGGTAAATATTTCCCCAACTAATTTTCTTTCTGATGCCCTGCAAGAGAATGTTGATCTAGATCTGCAGCTTCTGCATTTCACCTCCTCCCACACACTGTTTTTAGAAGGGTCAAATTTATCTCTGTTGTTATCAGTGTCTTGTCATGCTGTGTTATTTGCATGCGCGTGTGTCATGTGGTGCTGCTTCATGAGCCCACTAATCAGTGGGCCCTGAACTCAGGGGGGGCCTCCTACTGTCTCTTCTCATTTTTAGCATTTTTCACACACCGGGCCACACATGCTTCCCTACACCTATATAATCTTTCTTTTTCATGTACCATTTCACTTTAACAAACTAAAGCCGATGAACTCTTTTGTGCAACATCTGGCACACAGTTCATTACCGCAGTGCCTTTCAAAAGTATTTATACTTGAAGTAGTATTTCATCATGTTACTACAACAAATGTATTTATTAGGAATGTAGTTTACTTAAAAAAAAAAAAAAAAAAAGTAAAAGCGATCTACTGGACTTGGTTTTCAAGTTTGAAGACATTTAGCTTCCCATCCAGGAAGCTTTTTTCTATTCAAAATGTCCAACAAAGGCTTGTTTTTGTTTTGAAAACATGCAAATTGGAAGTTTTTGATTTTTTTTCAATCAAGTATTCAAAACAAAAACAAGGCTTTGTTGGGCTACTCGAACTCAACACTATTCCTGACATTCTGAATTGAAAAAGCTTCATGGATGGGAAGCAAAACATCAAACTCAGAAACTAAGTCCTGCGGATTGCTTTGAATTTTGTTTGGAATGACTATGACCTGGATGACTGAGAACCTTCACCAGCATTTGACTTTGAAAAGCATTTTTTTTTTGTATAAAAAATGTAAATGGTGTTTCTTTAAATGTTGTCTTGTTGTGAGGAGGCGTTTTCAAAGAATCAGGTTAGAGCAGAGGGAAAAATGAATGGAACTAAACACGTGGCTACTACACTGCAAATTTTGGATGCAATTCCCCCTCAGGTGATAATAATTCAGGTGGGCTGGAGAAGGGAAACATACGGAAAAGGATTAGGGCCACTGAAAAAAAAAAAAAAAAGTTAACAGATTTTTTACATTTTATTTCAGTCTAATATAGGAAAAATGTCAGAATTCTGAGGTTAAAGTCAGAATTCTGAGAAAGAAGTCGGAATTCTGAGATTAAGGTCACAATTCTGAAAAAAAAAGTCAGAGTTCTGAGAAAAAAATGTCAGTATTCTGAGATTAAAGTCAGAATTCTGAGTAAAAATGTCAGAATTCTGAGATTAAAGTCAGAATTCTGAAAAAGTCAGAATTCTGAGATTAAAGTCAGAATTCTGAGATTAAAGTCATAATTATGAGGAAAAAAATGTCAGAATTCTGAGAAAAAAGCCAAAATTATGAGATTAAAGTCAGAATTCTGAAAAAAGTCAGAATTCTGAGGAAAAAAAATCTGAATTCTGAGATTAAAGTCAGTATTCTGAGAAAAAAAGTCAGAATTCTGAGGAAAAAAAAGTCGGAATTCTGAGATCAAAGTCATAATTCTGAGAAAAAAAGTCATAATTATGAGAAAGCAAATGTCAGAATTCTGAGATTAAAGT